CTAGTTACGGCACGTCTGTTTCTTTCTTCCCAGCGACTCAAAATCAAGAGCCTAAAAAGAACAGCACAAACGGCAGAAGCCCGTGTAAGACTTTGAAACAGTGTCAAGCCTCTGCACACTTGATCTTGGCAGGAAGCCAAAATAACATACAAGGGTCATCATCATCCTCATCATCTTAGAATGGCGGAGCTGGAAGGGACCCTCCAGAGATCACAAAGTAAAGCCCTTGTCAAGGGGGGGACACGCCAGGGGAATCAAACTCCCAACTTCTGGCTCCGCAGCCAGAGACCTCAACCACTGAGTTATATAGACTAATTAATTAATTAATTTGTTGTGCACCATTGGCCCCTTCGGTGACAGCAGCCTCGGGGGCGAAATCACAGGCGGAGGGGAGTTATTGCCGACCCCTGATGAGATCAGCAGGGTTTCACATCTCCCCCCCCCTTGTTCACGTAAATAGCAGTGGTGTAATTGTCCTTTCTGACACACACAAGTCTCTTGAAGGCTCTGTACGTGAACCAGGAACGTCCCCCCCCCACCGCCCACCGCACACTGACTCTGGTGGTTCCCGGACATGCCCTGAATTTTCTTGGTTATGCCAGCTACGGCTGTGAGCTAGTTCTGGCTGTAACTCCTAGTAAACGAAACCTGGTTTTCTGCGGAGCTTAGAGACGCTTCTCTTTTGGACTACAAAGCCCATAATCCCCCAGGCAACCCAGTCAGTGGCACAGAGATGGGGGGGAAGTGACCTCTTTGGACCACCGATCTCGGAATCCTACTCTCCGTTCGGGGAGGCTGAGCCATTTGGAGGCGTTGAGTGGGAAACAAAACAAAACAAACGCATCCGCTTTCTTAAGATCCGAGTTGGTGAGAGGTCAGGAAGAGGCCTAAATAATTCTTGAGCAGCAGAAACTAAATGGATGGGATTTCCCTGGAGACGCCAGGCAGGTGGCCAACATAATGGGAGGAGAGCTTCCCACTGGGGAAGTTGGCAGGTCTTTGAGTCTGACTCCCAAGTCTCAAGTCTGAGTCTTTGATACCAAGTCCCAAGTCCAAGTCTCTGTTAAAAACAAGTTTTCCCTCCCCTTCAGAAAAAAAGAGAGAGGGCTCCCCCAGAACTGGCCAGTCCAGCCACCAGGCTCCATGTGGCCCTGTGGTCCTCCTCCTTCGGTGGCCATGCACCAATCCTAGCAGGTGCCCGGCCACCCCTTCCCCTCCACCCCCCCCATGCAGCCAACGACTTTGGTGCAGAAGCAGGATGGGGAGTCCTGAACCCCCGCTCAGTTGATGAGTGGTCAGTTGTGTGTTTGGGGGGGGAGGCGTGGAAGGACCAGCTGGGCTCCTGCCAGGCTCCTCTGCCACTGCCACCATCCAGAGAGGTTCGCCACGAACCACAAACCCTCCCGAATTTCTAAATTCTGCAATTTGTGCCCATGAGGTGTCCTGTTCTCCTGAAACACGCAGGCCTCTAAAAGACACTTGGGGGTGGTGGATAAAAATATATAAATAAATGAATTGATTTCCCCCCCCAACCCCAATCTTACAGGCCAGAGCACGCAAAATAATTGGAGGCACTGCCTTGTCAACGGGGACCAGTCAGACCTGACTAGAAACACACCTTACAGCTGTTTATGGAACTATAAACCTTCTCATTTCTTTTTTGCATTTCTCCCTGTCTCCTTCTCTCCCTGATACATCGGTGCAAAAATCTTTGAATTTATTCTTCGTAACCTCCTGGTGTTTGGAATAGAGAGGCGTCTAGGCAATCTTATATCCTGGACCGTGACGGTAATGATAGAGCAGGGGTGGAGTCTGCAGCCACAAAAGGGCTGGAGATCTTAGGTTCACAGTTGACTCTTTGCCCACCGAGGCAGCACTACCAGGGATGTTGGCAGGTCTTTGAGTCTGAGTTCCCGGACTTGTCCTTGGTACCAAATCCCAGGTCCCAAGTCTGAGTCCTTAAAAACAAGCTCTTTTCCCTAGAGAGAGAAAAAAGAAAGGAGGTGGGGAGGTTCAAAGTCAAGCCATCGGTGCAACTTAAGTCCAACTTGACATTGAGTCCCACCACTCGAGTCTCTCTTCGTTTACTACTGCTTCTTAGTTCCTTCGTTACACAGAACAAAAATGGCAAGCAGGCAACATCCTGATGTTTAAGAAAAGAGAGAGTCAAAAACCCCACAACTCCCAACTTGTGCATTTTCATCTTTTAAACTTAGTAGTGTAGAAGTAGATGTGGTTTTTCCAGGAGCGATGTATGGAAGTGAGAGCTGGACCATAAGGAAGGCTGACCGCCGAAGAACTGATGCTTTTGAATTGTGGTGCTGGAAGAGACTCTTGAGAGTCCCCTGGACTGCAAAGAGAACAAACTTATCCGTTCTAAAGGAAATCAACCCTGAGTGCTCCCTGGAAGGACAGATCCTGAAGCTGAGGCTCCAGTACTTTGGCCCTCTCATGAGAAGTGAAGACTCCCTGGAAAAGACCCTGATGTTGGGAAAGGGTGAAGGCAAGAGGAGAAAGGGGACGACAGAGGATGAGATGGTTGGGCAGGGTCATCGAAGCGATCAGCATGAATTCGACCCAACTCCGGCAGGCGGTGGAGGACCGGAGGGCCTGGCGTGCTCTGGTCCATGGGGTCACGAAGAGTCAGACATGACTTAACAACTAAACAACAACAACCGTATATAAGCAGGAAGAACCCTGAGAGAAAGAAGGAGAAAGAATGGCTAACAGTCTATATGTTGATTTAGAAAACCCGAAAGGGAAAACACCTAACAAGATCCTCATTGGCTTTTGGTTTGGTATAGGCACGCTGGGACCCTCTGGCCAAAATCCTGTTGATTAGTGTAAACCAAACTGTAGACTTCAGTCTCTTCCTTCCTGGTAAAGAAATGTCCTGACCGTATTTCTTGACATGTGCCTATGTGTGCCTTTGAGAACTGCAACAAGCATGCTTGGTTCAATGGGAAGAAATAGACTGGAACTTATTACCGGCAGACTGTTACTATTAGAAGCATCCAGATCCTCTTCTGCCAGCTGATCTCAGAGATCTGCCAGCAGAACAAGCTCTGTTGGCCAAGATCTGCCAGCAGAGGGGACATGAAGGGATGAAGTGAAAGGATAGAGTGAAACAGGAGACAATTTGGGCCTAAGCTTGAACGCCCCTCACAGTTTCAGATGCAGCCAATATGCCACCACTACCAAACCAAGGGGAACATGGCCTGAATAATGTCCAACATCCGAAGACTGGGAGAGGTTTCGATGCAGCGCAGTGCAGCTGGCCCTCAGGCATCCTGGGTTGTTGTGATTGCATTTTGAGGTCATAAGCTGACTTGCATAGCCTTGCCAGAACTAAGCAGAAAACCTGGGGTGGACCGCCCATGCTTCGTCCTGGATGTTTTAAGAAAGCTGGACAGGATCAAAGCCATAGCACAAAACTGTGCACATGCACATTCTAAAAATGAACATTTTGTAGATGGGGTGTTTAACAGTGTCTTCAGTATTATGCCATTGGAACAATGTCCCTTGCTATCCAAGATCTGGAATAGGGTCCACCATGATCTGTTGATGCGTCCAGTTTTTGCCGTTTAAGGATTTTGCAGCCATGAAGATATCTGGCAACAGCTCTACCAATTTGTTTGATTTACCACCTTCCTCATTTAGCTCTATCATGTCTGGAATGGAATCCCAACGAGCTAACATGTACACACACACACACAGACACACACACACACACACAGAGAGAGAGAGAGAGAGAGAGAACATCTTTCTGAAGATCTGCAGAAACCAAATGCTGTGCAACTCCATCGGCGTTGCTGCACCGCACACAACACTACATACATATTGAACCCCTCGCTTAGAGGGACCTGCGGTTTCTAAAGCATCTTATATTTCCAACTCTACATCTCCATGGGAGGTAAGACCCTTTTTTTGCAAAAGCAACAAATGTCACAGAATGACGCACAGAACGACACGGATGTGCAAGGTCTTTAGCGCCAAATCTCGGTATGCTTACAGTGGCATGTTGCTTTCCCGGTCGTTCAGCCTGCCTCCCTGTTTCCTACCAAATCCCAATTTGGCATTGCCAATCTCAAGCCACAAAAGGCTCATTTTGTCAACATCGCACACGGCCCAAAATGCAGCCAAATGACCTAGAGCTTCTTGGAGGTCTCTTCGTCTCAGGCTGTCAAGATCAACTCTGGGTGTTTGACCAAACCTGAAGATCGACCACCTGGATGCTGGAACTCTTTGGATCAGGGATTTCCGAGTCCAGGCACAGCTCAGAAATGTTACCTTTCTT